CTTAATAAATTACTTTTATTCAGTCTTAAAAAGTTACGTCTTGGAAATGATCTTTAATAAATTACTTTTATTCAGTCTTAAAAAGTTCCGTCTTGGAAATGATCTTTAATAAATTACTTTTATTCAGTCTTAAATGATCTTTCATAAGTTACTGATATTTATTTTTAAAAAGTCATTGAAAAAATTTCATAGTTTTCATTGAGTTTTCATCAGGCTGACTAGACTGGTGGTGAGTTATCCTGGAGTTTATTTATCACGTAGATGAGTTGGCCAGTGTTGAGTTGTTCTGCACCCTTGCTGTTAACCATGGCAGATTTCTTGTTGCCTGGATACTCAGAAAATATTGAAGAGCAGTAGAAATAAGTATAGGAATATCAAACACAACGAAGTGGTCAATATGAGAGCTTTATAAATTGATTGGCTCTGGTAATTAAATTAGATGACTCAGGTTTTAAGTTACCTCTATATAGGTGAGGCTTGTTTCCTTCTGGAAATATTTGAAAGAAGGAAAATGTTTCGGTGAGTTTGGATGAATAATAACATCTTTGTTGTTTTTTAGGTTTTGGGCACACTATGACCTTTCATATCTGATTTATTTTGAGGACTGCTCTTTAGGGCCTAATTGGAGAGCTGAGTTCCAATTCCTGTTGGGTTCGTTATATTCACTTATGTATAAATCCCCTTGAAAAAGGTATGAATCCACCTCTAATCCCATTAATTTCTTTTGGGTTACAGAAAAAGTAGGACAAGTCCTTGTGTGAGAAAGAATCTAATAAAATCATTGGATAAAACAAAAACTGCAATCTGATATCCCCCTGAGGCCTTCTTCAACAGAATTACCAATGAAAAAGACTGAAAGAGGAGCCAACATGGCCTGGATAAATCCTTCTGACATAAATCTGATGCAATCAAGGCCTGCCAAGTACAAAAATTAAACAGATTGAAAGATCAGAAAGTGATGCACAAAGTCCATCACCCCCTAGTGAATGCAGTAATTGACATCAGTCAACACCAGCCAGTGTGCCTTTGAGGAATCAGTACTAAACAAGGATCTCAAATTCGCCACAACCTTCAGGCAGATACCATACTTTGATATCATTGCCGGGATCAAGGAAAAAACCTTGAACATCCCTCAGGCTTGGGCAGATGTGCTAAGATGGAAAGTGAGGCAAGGATTGGAGAAAGCCAAGCTGGCCAAATCAAACATCACGAAACTGGAGAAGCTGGCAATCAGAACCCTACAGAGGAATGAAAACATCATCATACTACCAGCTGAGAAAGGCAATACAACTGTAGTGATGGACAAAACAGAATATACAGAAAAAGAGGAAAAAATCATTAGAAATGGTAGCTACAGTAAAGAAAGATACAACAATGAAAAAGCCAGTTGATTGTTAGCTACCAAGGTTCTGCATGTCACCCTCTGAGTCGCTTCCTTTTAGATATAATTGATCCATTAATAGGAAAGTCACCTTCATATATCCAAAACACTGCCCACTTCGTCTAAATAATCAAAGATACTCGTATCTAATCCAACCAGATGATGAGCCTGGACATGGTGAGTTTGTTTACTGAAGTGCCCAATGGAGGAGGCACTATCTGTAGTCAGGGACAGACTGGCCTCAAACTCATCTCCAAGAGAGCAGACCAGTATACCAATAGATAACTTGATGAAGATGCTGACTTTCTGTACACAAATGACACAATTTGGAATGGGATCAGACATATATTGACATATATCAACAGGATGAAGCCTTAGCAATATGCTTGCCATTATCACTGGCAGTGGCAAACATATATATGGAATACTTTAAGGAAATGGCATTAGAATCCAGATCACTAAAGTCAGTTCTATGATTGAAATATGTAGATAACACCTTCATACTCTGGCCACATCAAGAAGAGGTCCAGCTACTACTGGACCATGTGAACTCAATAAGATCCTCGATACAGTTCACAATGGAGAAAGGGCAACAAACTCACATTCTTGAATGTACTAATATCTTGAACAGAGCATGGGTTCAAGTCCTCCGTATACTGCAAGCTAACATTGACAATATCTCAACTTCAACTCCCACCACCCATACAATGTAAAGAAAGGGATCGTCTGCTGCTTACAGCATTGAGCAAAAGTCATAAGCGGCAACCCAGAGATATAGCAGCTAGAACTGGTCAGTATAAGCAGTACCCTGAAATGTAACAACTCTGGGTACATGGCAGCAGCTTCAACAAACTGGAATAGAAGTGTACAAGAAGATAACAACACTTAGAAAACAGCTTCAGTCTGCCTACCATATGTGAAAGTATTATCAGAAAAAATACAAAAGATCTGTGGTCCATATAACATCAGGACAACCTTAAAAAGTAGTCTAACACTTTGCATACACCTCTTCTGTGTATGAACTCCCATAGAGGAGAAGATGACTATGACAAAGTAATGTGTGTATGCCATCTTGGGCAGCTGTGGTAAGAAATATAAAGGAGAAACAGGCCACACCCCCTTAAGGTAAGACTGCAAGAACATCATAAAGTTATAACAAGAGGGGAAATAGAAAAATCAGGCATAACTGAGCACATATGGAGGAAAAAAAATAGATTACTGCCCCCTGTGTGATGAGGTTGAAATAATAGATGGAGAACATCACTGGAAAATACAAAAACTTATGGAAACAGCATATATGCTAACCCATGAAAATCTTCTAAGCCGGCCATGCATAGAAATGAATACAATATGGGAACCAGCAATAAGGAGTGCTAGAGAAAAGCAATGAGTAACAACAAAAATTGCTATAATGGTTCTGGTAAAAAATGGTTACTGAGACATTAAGTTTATAAGTCCCAAACATTCATACACTGATGTCCTCAAGGACACATGGCCAGTGGATAAAAGTGTTGGTTGGATCTAGTGACTAGACCCAAAGAGTTGTGAGTTCAATAAAACTTGGAGAGTTGAGTTAAAGGGAGGTATCTGAGACATCTGGAAGAGGCATGGCATGTGGAACTAGAACAATCTACCCTGGTGGATAAAATAAAGGGTTCAGTTCAAAATTCCAATCTTTTGAAGAAGGCCAGAGTGTATAACTGCCAAAATATCATGGATATTATAAGAAAGATGAGAACAACAGTCTGAAAAATGTAAATAATGTGAATAATTACAATATCTCATCTCAGAAGTATAGACAGTTATTAATTCTAATAAGGGCTTTCTTTGTTCCCTATTTTTGCTTTCTTAATCAATTTTCCAAATTTGGAGAATCCTCTACCTTCTTTGGAAGTAATTACAGTGATTGCTTCTACTTTATCTCCAACCTGCTTTACTTCATGTCTCGCACTGCTACTCCACACACATGGAGCCAAATTCTGCCATTCCTCCTCCCTTCTTGTTATTCTAACTGCCCACTTCTCAGGCTGGCATAACTGTTTTTTGTGACAAATCTAATTTTTAAAGTCCATAAAGTTTTAAAGTGGGCGTTGTTTATTCTCCTCATTAATTTCAGTTACTTGACTCCCTTCCAGGACCCATCTGTTCAGCGAAAAAAAACACAAACCAGATCATCTTCTCATTTTTACCTTCCAAGCAATAGATAAAAATTATTTCCCAATCTCCTTTGTCAATGGAAATATATTTGCTTACCTAAGTTCTCAAACGAGACAAAACTGTTTTCCATTCGTGGCCGAGCACCATCTCCGCAGAAACCCAAACCAGATCACCTACTTGGCACAACATGATTCAACTTCTTAACTTCAACCCTAAGAAAAAGGGTTCATTCTCTGTTTTCATCTCTAAATTCATTTTCACTATTGAATATATATGTTTCCAAATTTCTTAAGAAAGAGATAAAGCCATTTCTCTGAATCTGTTTTTGTCCGTATGCCTGTCTCTTGATAGATAAAAAAGATAAAACTTTGGAAAGAAGAAATCCAGATGGTCCCATTCTCACTGAGGAAAATGTTTCCATTTTCTCTTTCTATCTTTCAGTTTATATTTCATTTTGGGATTAACCCTTTTTCTGTTTAGAATTAATGTTTAACCACCTCACAGCCTCAGGATGACCAGCCCATCTTGCACCATGTCTAAGTGTCTGCATTGCCCTGCAAAGTGCATCCTGCATTCACATAAGATTGTAGAAATATCAGAGATGCGTCCATAGAGCTGTGATTCAGTTAGGTGTTATCTTCAAGAGATGTTAAGTATAGCTCTCAGTTTAGATTCCATCAAGCTTAGACGCAAGAGTTTTAGTTAATATCCAAGCATTGGCACCATACATTGACTTGAAAGAATCTTCATTTGCGGTTGTCTGGTGATTTCCAGATTACATCTATTTTATTCAAGACAGCCCAGGCTTTAGTTACGAAGATTTTCACATTCTTTTCAGTAGAATTTATTTTGCTTCCAAGGTATGTCAAAGGTTTGACGGATTTTATTGATTCTTCTGAGACAGAATGCCTCTAAAACTGATTACATAAGCTTCAACCAGCAAAATTTTCAATAATGTATACATATTATTTGGAATGCACCTTTTGAATCAGATAATTTTGGAAAGAGAGGGCAATGACATTCTGACATGTGAAAAGAGTGCATTGGACAAAAAAAGCTTGAATAACATGGGATTAAAGTATTGATCACTAGTAATTCTGCCTAGAGATCAGTGTGTAGTATCTGTCTACACTATTGAGAATTAAAGTATTGCTTCACTGACAAAGATGTGATATTTGAAAAAGGATGAAACTGACATAGTATAACACCTTAAAGGATGAAGGGATAGCTTGATAGCTATACCGAGAGAGATGTGACACCTTAAGGGTTGAAGGAATAGCTTGATAGCTATACCGAGAGAGATGTGAGACCTTAAGAGATGAAGGAATAGCTCGATAGCTATATCAAGAGATGTGAGACCTTAAGGGATTAAGGGATAGCTCAATAGCTATACCAAGAGAGATGTGACACCTAAAGAGTTGAAGGGATAGCTTGATAGCTATACCAAGAGAGATGTGACACCTTAAAGGGTAGAAGGGATAGCTTGATAGCTATACTGAAAGATATGTGACAACTTAAGGGATGAAGGGATAGCTCGATAACTATACTGAGAGAGATGTGACACCTTAACACTTGAAGGGATAGCTCGATAGCTATACCGAGAGAGATGTGACACCTTAAAGGGTTGAAGGGATAGCTTGATAGCTTTACTGAGAGAGATGCGATACCTTAAGGGATGAAGGGATAGCTTGATAGCTATACCGAGAGAGATGCGACACCTTAAGGGATGAAGGGATAGCTTGATAGCTATACCGAGAGAGATGTGACACCTTAAGGGATGAAGGGATAGCTCGATAGCTATACTGAGAGATATGTGACACCTTAAGGGATGAAGGGATAGCTCGATAGCTATACTGAGAGAGATGTGAGACCTTGACAGTTGCAGGGATAGCTAGATAGCAATACTGAGAGAGATGTGACACCTTAAAGGTTGAAGGGATAGCTTGATAGCTATATCAAGAGAGATGTAACACCTAAAGATTTGAGGGATAGATCAATATAAATACCGAGAGATGAGACCAGATTTTAGTGAATTCAGAGGATTTGTTTTTTTTTTCTTTTTCTGGGTAAAGGCAAGACAGAAACATTTGCTCATTTTTTTTTTACAAAAACTATATGGCCAAAGTTGACAACTGACTTTGAAATGAACCTAGTAAATACTGGATTTTCAGCACATCACCTGAAGAATAAAGGTAGGAGGACCTCCAATGACCAAGTCAGGAGTGGGAGCTGGCTCGGGAGTAAAATGGTTTCATTATTATTATGGGGACTCTAGTTGAGAAAGTTATAATTGAACCCCACAGGGGATGGAAAGAGGCAGTGTAAAAGCTGAAGTGGAAACACTATTGTTTTTAAAATCTAGGTTATGGAATTATCTACAGGCCATAAACTGGTAAGAAAAAATCGGTTGAGATAATATTTAAGGTTTTCTGGAAACAAATACAGAGAATTATTTTTTTTTTTTTTATCACTTGTCAAAAAGGCTAGAGAAGGCATGAATTGCTGAAGGGATGAGATTTCTTTGGATAAGGACCAAAGTGCCATAATGAGGTCTTGCATCAGAAACTACCAAGATGCCTGTTGGCAATGTTATTTCTAAAATGTGGGAGGTCTCAGATTAGAAGCCCCAATGAAGCCTATTGGAAATGTTAAACTGACAGTTAAATAACACATCAGTTGGCACAATAATGTAATTGTTGTGAAACCAATGTATATATTGTTTGAATTATTATTATTAAAGTCATATGAAGACAGCACAAAAAGCAAAATTCTTTTATAATGGCTTACAAAAGCCATACCAGAAGTCAGGAAAATGGTCTGAAATATAGAAAAATTAAACAAAAAAATCCTTTACAAAGCAGCGACATTGGTCTTTATCCAAGATTGTATAAATGAAAGAAATGACTAGGCAAATTCATCCAATGTCTATCATATAATAATTATATTGAATCTCACCATGGTTGATTTGTCAAGGTGACTTCTTGATGTTATTGACCTAGGGAGATGATATCAGTATGCAGCACCTTTAGAAAGTACCTAAAAACCATACCATGTGTTGACCCAAGCTTTGTGAGCGAAATTGGAGAGATGGAACTATTTGGCAAGCATCAATGGTTGTGCCAGCATGAAGTCACAAGTCACTGTAACTCATCCCTTGAACAAAATGGTATTTTTCAGCTCCCTATACAATATGACACTCTACACTAGTTTGCTTTCATAAGATGTTCTTTTAAAGAAAATTTACGTATACCTCCGATATCAGGGAATACTTTCCACTTCATACACAATTGTGTAATACTCCAAAATCTGTGACATAATTGGTGTAAATCCAGAGGTGTGAATTCTTAGAATGTATCTGCGTAAGCAAACTTGGAGAAGATTTTTTAATATCCATCACTGATACTGAACCGAAGCATTTTATGTACTTGCCTAAATTTGACACTTTTCGTTAATACAAATTTATTTTTCACTAATTTAGCTTTTATTATTACAAGTTTGAATCATATACGAGGTCTGTCCAAAAAGTAACAGTATTGGGTTTCTTTTTTGACGTTAGAGACATCATCCACAGTGAGACCTTTCCACAGGGCCAGATGATCAATCAGCAAGTTTACAAAGAGATCATGCAGTGTTTGCTTTGCTCAGTGTGTGAGAAGAGATGAGAGTTGTGTCAGGGCAAATCATGTCTGCTTCACCACAACAATGCACCTGCTCACAACTCCCTGAGCATCTGGCAGTTCCTGACTGAGAAATACATCACTGTACTGGAACAACCCCCTATTCACCTGATCTTGCTCCATGTGACATCTTTCTTTTCCCCAAGCTCAAGAGGATCAATTTTGTAGGTCTGTCCTGGGTATGACAATAAACTACCTCTGCGTCCATGGTAAGATGATAAAGTATGTCCAGCAGCAAGGCCTCTAATCAGAAGGTTTTAAGGAGCGTGGAACCACCTCTTAATTGTCAGTGTTCCCAGGTCCACCCTAACCCAGGGTGGTAGCACCTGTTAGGGCCCCAGCTATGGGCAAATAGTTAACCCCAAAACTGAGGTAAAAATCATTATGAAAGTGTAACAAATAGGTTTTGATATCAGAAATACTTTGTAAAAATATTATTACCAGAAATTAATTTTTGAAGAAAAAAACTATTACCAGAAATATAGTTTTGACAAAATAAAATATTATGAAGAAAAAAGTTGTCAGCATTAAATAACCCATTGAGGTTGATATGCCATAAAACAAAACAAAAAAAACCCAAAACAAACCATTTTGTAAGCATGGAGGCCATCGAGAGGGCTGTAACAATGGAGCTGAAGGACATCCAAGAAGAATCCTTCCGACAGTGCATAGAAGTGTGGCAGAAAAGGATTGAAAAGTGCATTAGACTTGAGGGGGGTTACTCTGAAGTGGATACCATGTAGTTTCTTATTTGGAATTGAAATAATTTGTTTGTGATATAAATCCTGTTACTTTTCAGACAAGCCTCGTAAATTAAGAATTGCAATCACAATTTTTCATTGTGTATTTTGGGTTGTTTGTTAAGATTTTGCTTTTGGAAGCCTCGATAATGTATAATATCATCCTCTTCAATTTTTCCCCTACAAAAATATCTCAAAGATATTAGTTGGGCCTCTATTGATTGTTTTTAGCCATACTCTGAACCCGTCACATGATTACTCATCATCAAGTGTAATATTAAACACTTATTGATACGTAGATATTTTTTGTTCACATTGTAAATCAATATCAATAGAGGAATTTCGAATGTATCTTCCTCTAACTCTGCTAAAAGAGCGAAATGGTTCAACTCTAGGCTCTCATAAATTTCTACAAATGAAAAATTATAGCAGAATAAAATAGCTAATTCTCTTCACTAGAGTGAGTTTTTCTGAAGATTCCATAAATAATCTTTTTCTTAATGATAACGGTAATGGTAACATTAGCTGTTTCCTTATAAGGAAACATTTGGCATTCATTGGCCAAGCAGCTGCTACTGAAATATATAAAATCTCTCTTAAAAAATTTTCAGGAAAATAGGTTCCTCAAGCCCAGTAGCAGTTATCGTTCTTTTCGCTATTGATGGGGAGTTTCCTTCCTAACCTTTTATTTGAAGTAGTGTGCAATGTCAACATCTTGATTATATCATTATCTTTTCTTCAAGTTACATGAGCTATCCATTTTAGTTGTTGCTGCTGTTGAAAGTCTTGGTAGTGGAATTGGTACATTGGTCTTGGGAGAGGAAACCAGGATTGTTGTCATCTCTTTTTCAGTTCTTTCTTTCTTTCTTTCTTTCATTATCAGTCTGCTCAATTCTTTCTTTCTTTATCAGATTTTTTAAAAATTTCACCTGATTATTCTTTAATATCCTTTTTCTTTTTATTCTTTCTTTCTTTCTTTCTTCCTTCTTTCTCCACTTCATCTTTTTCTTTCTTTCTGATGTATGAGCATAAGAGGAGGAGGAGGATGCAAAAAGTGCAGTTTCTAAGGATATGTAGGAAAATTACCATTTGTGAGGTTATATCTTTCTTATGACACCTGGGTATTTTTATATATCTGAAATTAAAAAAATAAATATCAATAACTCTACTGTTATATATTTATTTGCAATATAATGAACAACCCTTGAGTTGCATAATAATATATTACACACTCAAGTCTGCTATTTATATATATATATATATATATATATATATATAATGATGATGAATTGGAAAAATGTTTTTGCGATGCATTTCATCTGTTAGGATTTAATCGGAGGAAATGCATCACAAAGCTTTTTTCCAATTTGTCATACTTTTTTCTCAATAGTGTTTATTGATATATAAAATTATATATAATTGCCATATCATATATATAATTGTATATTTGGGCAGCAGTCCCTTTTTTATACAAGTTTCATTAAAAATGGCAGACAAGGTACTGTGATTAAGTTTTTTATTTAATTTTTTGTGTGTTTGCATAAGTGTTTTCTTTTCTGGGGATTAAGTTTGTAAAAACTGTCCAAATATTCTGCATATCCACGCATTTTCAGTTATTCTTTTAGTCATTATCAAGGGTGAAATCTATCAAACTCTATCCACAACATATTCATAGGCAATGCAAATATAATAGCATTGTCCACATGTAAAAAAGCACTAAATAGCAAAAAAACACAAGTCAATAACATCAATTATGATCATGGCCACAAATTGCTGACCATGTTTGGAAAACAAAACACAGCTAAAAGATTAACTGAAAGCACTTGGATATGCAGAAAATTTGGACAGTTTTTGCACACTTCATGTCAAGAAAAAAAACAATTATACAAATCCAAGAAAAATTAAATCAAAGGCTTAATCACAGTATCTTGTCAGAAGTCTTTAATATATATATATATATATATATATATATATAAAGTTTCAGATATAACAAAAAATATATCTGAAAGGACAGATTATGAATAAAGAGAAAACAACAACTTATCTTAGCTGACACATTTCATCCTTTGATGGCAAAGGTAGTGATTTTGTCTTCAGGGTAAATGTAAGGATTTTATAAAACAGTATTTTTTCAGAATTTAAAAAAGTAAAAATGCACATAAATATACTTCAGGTTAACTGAAAGTCAAGGTAAATTATGGAAGATACTAAGTGATGTAATTTAATGTCTAATAAAAAAAGTGAGTAAATATTGTTGAATTTAAGCTAGCTCCTATGAGAGCTCTTCATCGGGCCTTTATCACAATAGATAAGGAGGAGTACATACAATAGGGAACAATAAATTACAGAAGAACTCAAAATTGATCTCTGTATTTAAGTATTTCATTAATATTTAAGCTTACCTTTTAAAAGTTCAGTGATAATTCTTCTGCCGTCACTTAATTTAAAGACAGTTTGATGTACGTAGATCCTTACTTTCCATACAAACAATTATTTTTATTTCATGGGTGACTTTTGTTGAATTTCACAATTAATTTTGATTATTCCCAAATTTATTTCCACGTTATAAAAATTGTTATTGTACAAAAAAATTAATCACAAAAAATCACTGAAACAATCTCAGTAATGAAAATTTAAGAATTCAAAATTTCAGGATTGCTGGTCCAGAAC